CCCCAAAACCCCAAAACCCCAAAACCCCAAAACCCCAAAACCCCAAAACCCCAATACTTTTTGCCAAAATTCTGATTTAGATATGCGAGAATTTTAAAAAATATTCTATAATATTTTGCCAAAATCGGATATGGGTAAAGGAAAGAAGAAATCCAAGAGTAAACAGATCAACAAGAACACTACCAACCCCAAAGACTTGAAGGTACCTTCATAATTCCCTTTTGCTCTTCCCTACCAAGTTTGATAGTCAAATCGTATTTGCTGACCTCGATTTAGGAATTGGGAAATAAAGCATTTCTAAACAAGCTCTATGAAGAAGCAATTACTTACTACACAAAGGCCATTGACAACGCAGCAGACGACGATGAAGACAAGCATGTGTACTTCTCGAACAGTAACTTCGTCAGCTAATAGTGTTTAGGAGCCGCAGCCTACTTCGAAATGAAAGAATACGAAAAATCTTTAGAAGACGCTGCCAAGAGTGTTGAAATCAAAGATGACTTCGCCAAGGGCTACATCAGAAAGGCCCAAGCTGAGAGAGAACTCTTGCTTGGAGAAGAGTCTTTGACCTCGTCTGAGAAAGCCATCGAAATTGATCCTGACAACGAACATGCTAGAGAACTGTACGAAGAGTGTAAGCAAGAGTGGGACGACGATCACACAGTTGAAGAAAGCAACCCTCACAAGCAGAGGTTCAATCGCCTTGAAACCTGGCTTAAAGAAGGTGGAAGCAAATACGAAAAACTTAAGATCAGGTTCTACAACCCAATTTACAGAGGGGTCCATGCCGCCAAGAAAATCAGGGTAAGTCCGATCCTGGCCAATACGGCCATGTAATCAGCTGTGTCATGACTCTGTATAGGCAGGTGAAGAAATTCTTCTGATCCCCAAAGAGCAAATCATCACACTTGAAATGGCTGAAGAAAGTCCCATCGGAGCCAAGATGATGTACCACAATGTGAAGCCGAAGCTGTTGTCTCCGAAGCATGGATTCCTGGCCACTTACATTCTGCAAGAACGCTTGAAAGGAGAAGAATCTCCTTTCCACCCCTTCATCGACATTTTGCCTAAAACATTTGAGAACTTCCCAATCTTCTTCACAGAAGAAGAAAGAGCTTACCTCGAAGGGTCTCCATTCTTGGCTCAGGTTCTCGAGAAAATCGAAGACATCAAAACAGACTACGACTTGATCTGCTCGGTGGTGCCGGAATACAGCCAGTTCACTCTGAATGAGTTCTCCGAAATCAGAATGATGGTTTCGTCTAGAATCTTCGGCATGAACATTGATGGCAAGAAGACCGATGGTTTTGTCCCCATGGCCGACATGCTCAACCACAAGAGACCCAAGCAGACCTCCTGGACATACTCCGACGAGAAGCATGGCTTTGTGATTGAAGCTCTCAAAGACATCGGACGAAACGAGCAGGTCTATGATTCATACGGAAAGAAGTGTAACTCGAGGTTCTTCTTGAACTATGGCTTCATCGTAGAGAACAACGACGGAAACGAAGTCCCTCTCAAAATATATTACCCTGAGTCTGACGACAAGAAAGACATGAAGAAGGAAATGATCGGAGATCTCTCTGACTTCAAGAAGTTCAGAGTCACCGACAACTTCAACGAAGGCTCTATGCACGAGTTCATGAGCTGGATGAGGTTTGTCGAGTACGATGAGAACATCACTTTGCTTATTGACTACCAAGCCAGAGCAGCCAGTCAGACTCCAGTTAACGACTCTGACTCTGAAGATGGCTACAACGATCCGAACAAAGGGTTCAAAGCCAAAGACTTGCCACCTCTCTCTATCCGTAACGAAAAGAAAGTCTTACTCAGAATGAAGCTGGAAGCAGCCAAAGTCGAAGCTGGCTACCCCACAACGTACGAAGAAGATTTGGCTTTGTTGGAAGCCGATGAAGGCCTCACTTTCAACACCAGGAATGTCCTTTTGATGAGGTCGGGCGAAAAGAAAATTCTCAGGCATCTTATCGAAACAGCAGACATCATGCTGAGATATCTGGACTACGGCCTGACCGAGACCAGGAAACAGATGAAGGAAGACAAGCTGAAGAAGGACCAGGAGGTCTACATCAAAAAAGTGATACAACCTTTGATCAAGATGTCATAATTTTGTCAATTTTAACCACTTAAAATGGGGTTTTGGGGTTTTGGGGTTTTGGGGTTTTGGGG